CAGTTAAAAGATAAAAAGACCAACTAGAAAACAAACTACTTTTGGTTCCTAATGTCATTGTTCAGCATTATTGGCATTGCCAAGATAAAAATAGCAATCGATCTAATAACTTAAAATGATTCTGTATTCTGTCTCCTTTTAATTGATACTTCAAAATTTAAATGTACCACAATAAACATTATGGTTATACTCAATCAACTTTGTAGTTGGACCACCTTGTGTTTATGATGGGTCAGCAGGAATTTCTAAAGATCAGGCTCGAACAGCAAGCTTAGAAGTTGTGTTAAAGCACGTTTGAGAAACGGAAGTAGTTTTCTTTAAATGTAGACTCTGATTTCAACTATGTTCTTCCATCGGTCGATACAAGTCCGCAACATCCGTTAAAATGAACAAATGTCCGAGAATTTACGAAGCAGTTAAGCTCATGCTTTTAAAATCACTCTCTTATGGGAAGTCCGTTTTTAAGCTGTCGGATTACAAAATATTTTACTGCTCATACGTTACAAATATATCGTCGCCATTGTACCAAAATCACGTTTCTTGAAGGCTGCTATTTCTAAAAAATAGTGTATTTAAAGGTTTGACATGCGTTTAATTTTCAGAGAAATCTGCTGCGCTGTATAATAATTCTCATAAATTTACCTCATAAAATAAAAAAAAATTTCTTTTTTTAACATAGCATGAAACAACAAAAAAAAATAAATATAAGGTATAAATAAGGATCGCGAAAAGTTCAAATCCTTGATTTTGGCCTGCGGAACAGGATATCAAGACCTAGAACTAGTCGAAGTTATTATAAACTCCACTTAGTAAATTTCAGTTCTTACATATTGCAGTTAAAGAATTTATCTCCTTTACAAGATTTTATCTGCACCAAAAGCAGTTTGTCTTTCATATTAGTTACGGTACTCAAACTAAAAGATTAGCCATGAAAAGTCTTCTTAAACATACTGTCGCAAATATTATTTTACGTGCACTGTTCTTTGAATAAAAAATATTTAAAAAACTAAAGTTTCTGTTTTAAATTCGTTATATCGATGGCATATTCAATCTTATTAACAGCAATAAAGATAATTTACCTCTTCTGACTTTTATGAGTTTTAAATATCTACTTTGGAACTCAAAACGTTCAGTTATCTTTCTTTTCTTGATATTTGAGTCTCACCAAACAGTTTTAATTTTTTGGTGTGTTGGAAACATTTCTCGGTTTATTACTTTAGGCGCATGCTATAGCCTCTCATTTTTACTAGACAAATGTTAGATTTTTTCTACACTTTTGTTTTCCTTTCTTTCAATGTTTGCTTTAATCAGTCCTTGATTAAACACTGAACTGTTTGATAATGATCGCTATCGATAGAACCATCTCGTCTCAGAATATTAATTAGCAAAGAAGTCAAAAAGTTGTCAGTTTTAATAAGAAGAAATATTCTCCTACTTCACTCAGTATCGATAATTTAGTTTTATTCCTTTCTTTCCCGCTGTCAGTAACAAAATTGAGCATATTTAGTGAATTTTCAAGTTATTTTTTTGCCTTATAAAATACCCAGTTGTGTCCTTGAAGACCTTATTCCTGATTCGAATTCTTGGGAAATTTATAGCATTCCTTCAAATGCAACTTAATGTGCTTTAGGCGAACAAACCGCGTTTCAAAAATTTCATGTCAAAGAACCTGAATCTTATTTTCGAAGAAAAGAAATAATTAAATCATGAGTTACAGTTCTTCTGCATACCAAAAGTGCACTTTTGCTTCTACCAAAAATCTTCCAAAAATACTTTTTCAATAGATGAATTAGATTTCCTTGCTGCTCTCCATGTTCACTAAAATTTGTTAGCATAAACCAATGATTAAAATTTCAATCCTTTTTTTCTCACTCGCCAATAAACCAACTCGCCAACTGTTTTTGATCTGGTTTCCCTTGACATCCCGATATATTACCAACTGATTTGTTCTGCTTCGTTATTTTTCTCTCCCTTTCGTTATAAAGTATGTTATTGTAACCTATAAGTAAATTCTTCATAATTTGTTAATTCTTCAGAATTTGTTAATTTATCTTTCCGTTTGTAGTCTCTCGTTTAGTTGCAGCTTAAGAAGACAGTAGTGTTCAGTTTCCAATAATGTTTCGGCTAAAATAAAAATCTACCTCAATTAATATCCTTTTTCGTGCACTCAGAATTTCATAGCGTATCACTCTTGGCTACATAAAATATTTTATGTTTATCATAGAATTAGGCGAGTTCATTAGTGTTCCTGGTACATGAACATGGTACTACGTGGTAGCGAAAAGCCACGGAGCTTTTAGCTATCATGTAGGCAAGTTCATGCATGGTAGCGAAAAGCTCCGTCGTGTTAATTTAATAATCAGAAAATTTCGGGAAAACGTTTCAAAAGCCAAACGATTTTGTGCCAATATGTGTACTATATGTAATTAGAAGTTTGTTATATTCATTATCATAATTCCGCAAAAATTCCTAAGAATTATTACTTTTATATATCGTAAATTAAATTTAACTTAAGTTACATGAGTAAATTGTTATTTAATTAAGAGGTTCATTAGTTGACACAGAATTTTATTGACTCTAAAGCATATATACATCTTCTGTATATTCATTAATAAAGAAGCAAGAGTTCGCGAGCAGACGTTAGAATATAATATTCCATTAGAATATAATATTGTATCAATACGAAAAATATTGTATTGTTTTGATACAGTTATTATAGTACTGTATTAGCACAAAAACATATATACATGTGTCGCCCAGACGGTATAGTACTTAGGAAAGCCAACTGCGGTACCGAAGAACCCGGGTTTGAATCACGGAGAAAACATGCATGTTTGTAAATGTATAGTTTCTGTGTGGCATGGGGGCACTCTAAATATGCGGCGAGCTGAAAGTCCTCTCGTATGATTTGATGGAAGAGGAGAGAGGTGGGAAATCCCCCGGACCACCCCTGGGATGCTCTTCCTCAAATTTTTATGGAATATGAAAACCCAACCTGTCTTTGGAGTAGGTTCTGGCAACTATTCTTCCATGTAATATGGGCATGACAACAACATATACATGTAATTTACATGTATTAATAAAAAAGCAGCATTTCGTTAGTAGGCTATGAAAATACTTGAATAATTATTTACAGACTGATGAAAAATATTCATACTGATTTAATCTGAAAAATAAAATAAAGATGCTTTTCTTTGTTATGCTACTAGTTGTGATAAATATTACACGCGGCATATAAAACAATGTAACGATTTAGATCAGCGATTCTGAATGGGTAGTACGCGTACCACTGGTGGTACGCAAAGAAACAAATTATTTTTAACTATTAAGTTCAAATATTTCGTAAAGAAAAGGAAAAGTTGGTAGAAAGTTCCTGTGATCGAACTCGAAATGAAGATTTCAAAATAACACACTTCTTAACCTTTGGCTGAACCGAAAAAAGAAAAGATTTTAAAGGTATCTCAAATAAAACTATTAAACTCTTATTGCCTTTTTGCGCAACCTATTTGAGCGAAAGGATTTTCTTTCATGTTATATTTGAAAAATAAATACAGAATAAAATTTAAAGTGGATATTAATTTAATTTGCGGTTAAAACTAAGTGAAATAAGATCAGATATAAAGAAATTGATCTCTCTTAACAGACCCGAATTTCACACTAAATTTTAGAACTTACGAAATATAGCTTAAATTTTGATAATTAAAAAAATGGTAACCAATTTTTAATCTAACATTTTTTATGTGGGCGTATTTAATACAAATAGTCAATAAGTGGAGCAAATGATAAAATATATATTTTTTTAATATTTCTATTGAGAAATTGAAAAATAATCATTGTAAAATATGGTGGTATTACTAAAATTTTTCAATTTTTGTTTAGATGGTACGCGTTAGTCAAAAGGTTGAGAACTGCTGATGTAGATTACTTCGAAAAGATTACTCTAAGGACTTTTTTTTACATTCAAAAACAATTTTTCAAAACAATTGTAATCTTTTTTACTAGTTTATTATTTACATGGCTTTAAAAACTTTTCTAACCCCCCTCCCAAAAAAAAAAAACAAATTTCCTACACAGTTTCAGTCTGTATTGTTAGTTAATTATTTAATTCAAGGACGCTTCTATTCGTTCAAAACATATGTACGAAAAAACTTATAATCTTTAATGCAAGTTCATTATTTACTTTTCCTTAAAGTTGTTCCAAAGTTCAAAAACAAACTTGCAAAATAGTTGTTATCTTTGTTTTTTATTTGGCCTTAAAGACACCTCCGATATCCCCAAAACAAACTTGGGAAACAGTTTACAAGGCTATTTTCTCCCTCCTTTCCGCATTCCTTCGTGGTGTAACTGGAAGTATAATCGACACGTATTCTAGAGGTCCAGATTTCGAGTCCCGGCGAGGTAACTGCTCATTTTTCACCTCTCCCTGCTTCAAAAACAAAATGCCTAGTGACTCTACCAGTTTGTTATCTTTGTTACTAATTTATTATTTTTTGGCTTAGGACGACTTTAATTCTCAAAAAATGACTTTGCAAAACAATTGTAATTTTTATAACTAGTTTATTATTTACTTGATTTCGAGTACATTTCAAAAGTTCAAAAACAAGTTTCCAAAACATCTAGTCTTTGTTACAAACTTATTATTTATTGGACTTCAAGACATCTTTAATATTCAAAAACAACTTTCAAAAATAATATTAATTTTTGCTACCAATTTATTACCCGCATAGCTTTAAGGAGGTTTCTGGTGTTCAAAAAGAAAATTGTAAAACAGCTGTCGTCTTTTTTTCTATATACTTATTTATTTGATTTTAAGTACGGTTTTAACGTTTGAAGACAAGTTTGTAAAAGATTTGTATTCTTTTTTACCAGCGTATTATTTTAATTTGTTTTTTCCTCTTAATGGCCAAAGCATTTCACTGGCTATTTAGTAATCTGTTAAGCAGGAAAAAAACATTATCTCACTTCTTTTCTTAACTTCTGTGGGTATTAAAAATAAATTTCTTTTTCCAGGTCAGACCACAAAAATGGAATTTTGAAAAGCATGGAAAAAAGATCACAGTCTCCCATACTTGGGTAAGTACCCGAATATGATTATTTCAATAACTACACTGACGAGAAAATCATGCGCGTGCCAACCCACCATTTCAAGAAGAAAAAATTCTAAAGACGACGTAACAAAAGCTCACAAACGATGAAAATATATCATCAAATATGTATTAGAGTATCAGATTTCATTTATGTTGAACGTGTATATTTTTTGCGATGTTTCTTCATATTTCTCGCCTTTCTTGATTTCAAAGAATGAAGACGACTTGAATACTAATGGCGAACCAGGAGATGAAAAGAACTGGATCGTTATATCAAATTCATTTATTCGCGTCGTAACGAGAGGAAAAAGTGAAGGATAAAGGTACTTAATAAGATTAAAGGGATCGTATTCATTAGGTTAATGAATATGAAGTCATATTTTATTCATTATTTTTTGCATTTTAAACGCAATTAACATGCGTAACAAAATTCTAATTAATAGTACGTAACACAGCGCAGCCCTTTTTTTTGCTTATAGAAATATCCCTCCGAATGTGAATGCTTTGATTTCAATCGGATCTTGTTTAGTAAAAATTAAATAAATGAAAATCGGAATATGACAAGAAAACTTCAAAATGAGGATTTCGTATTACCGTAATAGTTCGAAAAAGAGTTTGTTATTCAAAATTTTGAAATACTCAAAAATTATATTTATAACATTAGTTAATGGAAACCCATCATAAGTATTTAATTACATGTAAAATGCGTTTAACTTTTTGCATTTAAAACTGATATTTCTAAGAACACTTTCAACATAAATAATAATAAATAAGTAATGAAACATGTTTCTAATACTGGTAATTGAAAATGAATGGTACAAGAAAGATATAGGAAATGCTGCAAGGAAATGAATGTTACTCGAGTCTTGTGCGATAAATTTACTTTCACAAATACAAGTATAATATGTATTTTTTACTTTCCACTTTTCATTTGGTAAATTGAAATATTCATCATTTCCGAAAATATTCTCCAGAGTCAAACTTTCAAAATGGTGGCATACGCGAAAGATGAAGCTTATTCTATGCTAGAATATGCGGAAACAGGACATGTAACCATAGTTCTGAGTCATTTTCGGACAAAATTCGCTAAACAGGTACCTCAGCATCACATAATCGCAAGGTGAGTAAGAAAATTTGAAGAGACATTAGCTTATGCAAGGAAAAAAGCACAAGTCAACCATACATCGGCAATGCCATGGTGAGAAATATTCCTGCCACTTAAGGAAGTCCATCAAGTCAATGTGTCCTGCCAGCTGAAAACGTAACATACTGCAAGAAAGAATAGGGAGCTTGATACACAAGCGTCTTCAGTTAAATATTTGCAGATTTCACATGACACAAGTATAAAAACTGCAGATACATCAAACTGGAGAGAGCTTTAAATGGATTTTAAAGTGGATGGTTTTGTGGACAGACTTCTTGTTCACTGACGAAGCATTAGAAATTTTGTGTAGTGGTAAGCTGGATACTGAATCATACCATAGCTAAGTAGGGGTAAGCTGGATATTGAATCATACTTGAGTATGTGCACTAAAACTGAATCCTAAATATGGTTTTCAACAAGCAAACGTTTTCGGTACCATAACTAACCGCAGTGTATTTGGACTTGTCTTTCGCAATTCCACCATTACAGGCTTCATCTACATGGCATGCTGTAGGAGTACTTTTTTCCCATTTGAAAGAACAAGATCCGAACTTTATACTTCAACTTTATACTTTTCAAATGGACACTCCGCCACAACAACTTGAAAACATAAGCGATTATGTTGTGTACCAAAATTACATACAGATAGTCCAATCATCACGTAACAAAAATTCGATAAACATACCAAATTTAAATCTTTCTTTCCAATTCATTTTGGCAGATAAGTGCAGCAGCATATTATTAACCCATGTTCGATACTGATACACAGTTTTAAAGGCTTTAACTAAACTGTCTTAGATTGAAAAACACATAATCATAGCTACAAAAATATAATTTTTTATATAAGATTCCAAGTATCACATTAACATGGTAAATTCACAATAAAATCACAAATAATGACCACACTTACGTACTAACGCAACAGCTTGGCGCAGTTTGACTGCTTTACACTGGTATGCAAAAATTAAGGACGAGACGGTTTTTTCAATATAACTTTGTACAAAAGCTTTCCAAATCAACACATTTGATACCGTAAGATCCCCAATACGTAAGGACATGAGTAATGTAAGCAACACTTACTAAAAGAGAAATCAGAGGGATAAAAAGAAGCTTTATTGAAAACGTAGCATGGAGCGCAATGCGACTGAAGGCCGAAACATCCCTGTGATGGGTGTCCAGCAAGAAACATCCGGTCTTTAATAGGGGATATGATCTCCCCTGACTGCTAGGCAGGTTTCACAGCGTCTTCCCATGCTGAGAATGAGGGTCTCAATGAGTTGTTGAGGCATTGCTGCCCATTCGTCTTGCAGCGCCAATCGAAGCTCCGGAATCGTTACTGATGGTAAGGTACAAGCTGCCAAGCGTCTGCCTAGAAAATCACATACATGCTCGATGGGATTGAGATCCGGAGATCGTGCCGGCCAATCCATACGTTCAATATCCTCACTCTCTAAGAGCTGTTCGGCAGCTACTGTGCGATGACATAATGCATTGTCGTTCATGAAAAGAAACTGCGGACCCATAGCGCCTCTAAAAAGACGCACATATGGAAGAAGAATCTCGTTACAATAACGGGTCCCGTTGACTGAACCTGCGTCGAAGATGTGAAGGTCTGTGCGACTACCAAGCATGATGCCTCCCCAAACGAGAACACCGCCACCTCCATACCTGTCCCTTTCAATGATGTTCGAGGGATGATTGCGGCTTCCCCGCTCTCTCCTGATGAGTATGCGATGAGAATCGCTACTCAGACTGAATCTGCTCTCATCTGTAAAGAGTACTCGTTCCCATTCATTGTCTCTCCAATTCCGGTGTTCCCGGCACCACAGAGAACGCCTTCTCCGATGGGCAGGCGTTAGAGGTACACACCGTACAGGGCGTCGTGCAAACAGACCACCACCGTGCAGTCTTCTGGCCACGGTAAAACGCGATATCGGTCGTCCAGTCGCCTGTGTCGTGGTGTCTAGCGATTTCTCCCCGCTGTCTGCCGCCTGTTTCTTCTGGCCTGTAAGGCAATATACCGGTCATCTGCGGGTGTGGTTCCTCGTGGACGACCACTACTAAACCCCCGGATAGCTGTTCCTGTACTTTGAAATTGTCTCCAAAGTCGTGAAACGATGCTGTGAGCAATTCCGAACTCTGCAGCCACACTTGTCACACTGCGGCCTTCCACCAACTTCCCAATGATTCGACCTCGGGTAAAAGCATCCAGATGTCGTCTAACAGATTGATTATTCGCCATTTCTCGCTGAGGCAGCAACTCGGTGTGATTTTAACTGCTATACGGCGTGCAATCTCTTTGCCAGAAATACTGATCTTACACCGACAACATGCTTTATACTACTCAGACACTCCCCCATTACGTCTACCTGCATATCTGCGCATGTGCTACCGTACATCACCTTTCTTAATCTCCTGATTGGTCTTTCTGTCCGCTCTGCCTCTTCGTTCAGCTGATATGCTAATTTTTCGACTTCGTCCTTAATTTTTGCACACCAGTGTATACTGATTAAAACGTAAATGTTACTTCTTAGTTGCATGCTGGTGGTTTTCGTGAATTGTTTCGAAAGAAAATACCTAAATTATCGCTATTATCGTAAATCGGGGGGGGGGGGGACATTACCAACATATGATAAGAAAATACACTTTAACAATTTTAATTATCAGATAAGGTTCATGCGATAAGTTAAAAAAATATAATATTTACACTCTTCATCAAACCTTTCTTCAATTTTTGCGCTATTCAGCTTTCCAAGTGCACACGATCTGTTTTCGCTTTAAAAAAAAAAAAAAAAAAAAGGGGATTATAGACATTCTGCATTGAGCAAACTTGGGCCACACCGGCTCTCTATTAAACATATGTTACCTCAGTTCCTTTCATTGTTGGCAAATTCTAACACATAAAGACATATAAGCACACGATAGCACGTAAGTACCGTAATTAATTTATCATGATTTTGGGATTATTTCCTTAATACATACTGCTATTAAAAAATCAGATTTGCATGATCAATTCTACAGCTAAAAGAAGGTAAAGGGTACTTACATGAGCAGAATTTAGGGATCTAGATCTAAATTATAAGCAATGCTGAAAGATAGCGTTCCAAGAATTAAACTGTAAAGCCTTAACGTTGTCACTTATAGTCCTTAACACAGTTGGTTACTGTTTGCAGAGGGAAGCCGTTTTCTCTGTCACGCTAAATATCAGCTTAATGCTTTGCGAACGCAAAAACATTGAACAACTTCAATCAGGAACATCTTTTAGCTCTCTCTTAACTGTCTGTAAAACTTGAATACTTCACCCCGTCGGACTGGAACCTTTTCAGTCATTTTTAAATGTCTCCAACACTGAAACACTTCATCAGTTTAGGGCAGGAACCTTTATCGCTCAGTCATTTCTTAAACGTCGGAAAACCAGGAACACTTCATCAATGCAGGGTTGGAACATTTATCGCTCAGTCAGTTCTTAAATGTTTGTAAAACTGGAACATTCCATCAGTGTAGGGCAGGAAAATTTATTGTTCGGTCTTTCCTAAGTCGTCACCAATAAAATGTTCTTTCTCCATCTCAGAAAATTGCACTCCTTTCTACTAGTTATAATCCGCAAATTTCTTCCTTTTTCCCCTTTTGTTCTTCAGCATGCTAAACTCTGATCTAACTCAAAGCAAAAAGAAGGAAATCTGAAAAAAGTCCTCTGTTTTAGACAAAATCTTTCCTATTCCTCCAGACGTAATTATTAAGTAAAAGCTAAATTCTGATGCAATCACGCCTCGCTTGCAGTTAATTGGTTAATCACAGTCCGCTAGAACCTTTTCCGAGCCGATTATAATCACATAGCAATT